TGTGTGGCCAGAGGCTCTGAGCCAGGACTGACTTTGCCCTTGACACAAAGGACTAGACATTGAGAAACCAGGCCCGCCCCACATAAGCTCATAGAATCTCAAGGGCAGAAGGGATCTTAGAATCACCTGAGCCTTCTCTACTACTTGAATCTCCCCAATAACACGGCCACAAAAGTGGATAGTTACCTAACAACTCCCCGTGAGTGGCTATGGTTGGCCGAAAGGAGCCAGTGACCACAACAAGACTATGAGCAGACTTTGAGCCCCTCTTGAGCAGATGCCCCTTGCCCCACAATGACTGGCTACCAATGCCTCCCACCTAAAGGCCTTTGGGATTGGGAAATTCTTCCTCCATGAAATGTACATATCAAGCTATAATGGACCCAGATTTACCTTGCATACCTTTCCTCTCAGTTTGGTGTCTGCCTTTTATTTGAATTTGCAAATGACTTGCTAATTGACATTCTTTTGTTAAGTTTATTTACTTATTTTGGGGGGAAGAGCGAGAATCCCCAGCAGCCTCTGCACTGTCAGTGTAGAGCCCAACTTGAGGCTCGAACCCATGAACCATGAGATCGTGACCTAAGCTGAGGTCAAGAGTCGGACGCTTAACCGACTGAGCCACCCAAGTGCCCCAGACTTCTTTTTTTTTTTTTTTTTTAATTTTTTTTTTCAACGTTTATTTATTTTTGGGACAGAGAGAGACAGAGCATGAACGGGGGAGGGGCAGAGAGAGAGGGAGACACAGAATCGGAAACAGGCTCCAGGCTCTGAGCCATCAGCCCAGAGCCTGACGCGGGGCTCGAACTCACAGACCGCGAGATCGTGACCTGGCTGAAGTCGGACGCTTAACCGACTGCGCCACCCAGGCGCCCCCCCAGACTTCTTTATGTAACAAATTCCATGGCTCATCCCAGTTCCCATCCAGAAGTGGTGGTAAATTGTCAAGTTCTTGGCAAAACTCATAGAAGGCTCCCATGTACAAAATCTGGAGGAGGACATCACCCAGGAATGAGGCTAGAGTCCCAGTGAGGTTGGAAGATGCCTACTACCTCTTCCAGCAAATTCCTCTGCCCCTCCTGTACCCCCTTGTACCTAAAAAGGGAGGCCTTATTTCCTCTTTTTTCAAATTGCTAGGTGTCTTGAATTTCTTGCCCTCACTTTCATCCCTACTGTAGGTGGTTAGAGAAGGAAATGGAGAAAGGGAACCTCATGGTTCTCCTTGCCTCTTTGGCCAGGGAACATTCTACCAAAGGGTGAAGACCCTAAAGCCTCTTAGGTGAGCCAGCAACAACACTCTTAGTTAGGCATATATACCAAAGAACTGAAAACAAGTATTCAAACAAAAACTTGTACACAAAAATTCATTGAAGCACTATTCACGTGGTCAAAAGGGAGAAACAACCCCAACATCAGCCGAGGAATGGAGAGACAAAATGTGGTATATCCATACAATGGATTTCTTTTTCAAGACCTACGAGTTTAATTACCTACTAGACCATCCAGATGGAAATATGTGGTAAATGAATGGAAACAAGGGTCATAAAATTAGGAGAAAGGCTGGCATTTTTAGAGCAGTTTAGGTTTAGATGTTCACCAGGTTGGACTTTAAAAAAAAAAAAAAATTTTAAACAAATACTTTCTTAAGATTTTATTTTTAAGTAGTCTCTACACCCAGCATGGGACTTGAACTCACAACGCTGAGATTAAAAGTCGCATGCTCCACCAATTGAGCCAGCAGGGCACCTCTTAAAATAAAGTTTTTTACCACAGTGAAAAAACAATATATTAAAACGGAATTCCAGAATTGTCCAAATGATTTTTTAATCATGATTACTTTTTTCCACATTTCTTTAAATGTCAAGTTTTCTTTGGCAAATTTATCCAAAAACATAAATTTTCATTGTATAATTTAGTTTATATTTATATAACAGGGTGCCCTAAATTGATGTTCATCAGAATACTGTTCTCTAAGTCCTAATGGCTTATATCTTCCCTTTAAAGTGTGTAAGTATCAAAAAAAGTGTATCTTTTAATTATTTTATCATTTTCAAAGATAGTCTAGAGAAAACATGAATTAAAACACCTGTAAGTTCTTCATTTTTTTTTTAAGTTTATTTATTTTGAGAGAAAGAGAGACACAGAGAGCACAAGCAGGGGAGGGGCAGAGAGAGAGAGAGAGAGAGAGAGAGAGAATCCTAAGCAGGCATCCCACTGTCAGCACAGAGCCGGACTTGGGGCTTGAACTCATGAACTGTGAGATCGTGACCTGAGCCGAGATCAAGAGTCAGATGCTTTTTTAAAAAATTAAGTTTATTTATTTATGTTGAGAGAAAGAGAACAAGCAGCGTAGGGGCAGAGAGAGAGAGAGAAAGAGAGAGAGAGAGAGAGAGAGAGAGAAAATCCCAAGCAGGCTCTGCACTGCCAGTGCAGAGACCAATGCCGGGCTCAAACCCATGAACCGTGAGGTCATGACCCAAGCGGAAATCAAGAGTCAGAAGCTTAACCGGCTGAGCCACCCAGGTGCCCCAGTTCTTCATTTCTGTTGCAGTGTAGCAATTGGTCCTCTAACCCATGGTGGTCTATCAGCTGAGCAAGGCTGAGTCTTGTTCTCAGATGCAGCTGACTGCACCTCGGAAAGCAACTGACTACAGGCTTCTCCGCCTCTTTTTCAGACAAGGGTAACTAACACAAATCATTCTTTGATCTATACGTTCTGCTAGTTTCATCCCCCAGATCCTCGTTTGGAAATTCTCATTCGCCAAATCGTTTTTGAAGACCATTGCACGACACAGTATCAAGTCATTAGATTCACATGCGCTGATAATTCTTGAAGGTATTTTCCAAATGCTTCCTTCCTTCAGCTTTACCATCTGTGTGTTTAAAATGGTCTCAAAAGTTCCAGGGCCACCTGGCGGGCTCCATCAGTAGTGCGCGTGACTCTTGGTCTTGAGGTCATGCGTTCAAGCCCTGTGTTGGGTGTAGAGATTAATAAATAAATAAGTAACCTTCAAAAAAAAAAAAAAGAGTTCTGAGATTCCAAACATTTTTCTTCTGGAGAAGATGCCGGTTTCTTTGAAAAGGTTCGATAGTTTTCTTCATTCTCTGCTTTGAGGTATTTTACCATGCTGTAACAGGGATTACATGAAAATCTTCCGTTCCTCAGTCATTGTCTAAGTGTTGCACTTACAGGGTTTTTTATTTTTTTAATTTTTTTATTAAAAATTTTTTTTTTAACATTTTATTTATTTTTGAGACAGAGAGAGACAGAGCATGAGCAGGGGAGGGGCAGAGAGAGGGAGACACAGAATCTGAAACAGGCTCTGGGCTCCGAGCTGTCAGACAGAGCCCAACACGGGGCTCAAACCCACGAACCGTGAGATCATGACCTGAGCCCAAGTCGGATGCTTAACCGACTGAGCCACCCAGGCACCCCATACAGGGTTTTTTCTTGAACCGCTTGTGTGGGGAGGTGGTGGATTGGCACACACCTGTGGAGGGCTGGTCGAGTCACAGCTGAGCGTGATGAGCTTTCCATCTTGGAAATGGAACCTCAGTTTGCCTCTCTCTCAGCCCTCCCCAGAGAGAAAGCCCACCCGATATTATCCGTTATTGCATAGCTATAAAAAGGATCAAAGTCCTGACACGTGCCTTGACAACGTTTTTGCTAAGTAAAAGAAGCCAGACACAAAGACCACTTACTGTATGCATCCGTTTTTATGAAATACGGAGAATAGACCCATCCATAGAGGAAAGGCCGACTGGCGGCTGCCAGGGGCCGGTGGTGGCAGAGAAAGGGAGGAATTGCTAATGGGTATGGGGTTCCCTTTGGGGATGATGAAAATGTTCTGGAACTAAACAGTGGCGGTGGTTGCACAACATTATAAATGCATTCGATTCCACGGAGTTTTGCGCTTTAAAATGGTTAAAATGGTGAATTTTATGTTACGTGGATTTTACCTCAATCGATAAAATAACCGAAGAAGGAGAACCTGTCAGCCAACCCAGGGTTGAAAGAGGAGGAGGAAGGGGAAAGAGGGGGAAGCTAGCGCATTTCTCTGAGCTTAGGTCCCTCATCTGGACTGTGGTGGTGGTAATTCTCCCATCCCCCAGCGGGCATGAGTAATGAGCTTGAGTAAGTGTTATAGAAATACTTAGCACTATAGGCGCTCAACGTCAATGTTAATTGCCTTCTTTTCTGTATAAGTATCTAAACCTATTTGTCCGCTTTATACCTTTATTTCTTACGACTCTATGGTCTGTGAATCTGTTCTTCACGGGGGCTCCTCCCACTCCCCCTCCCTGCATTTGGCAGGCTGCTCTACTATCTGGGATGTTGTCCTGGCTCCCGTGTTAAAGGCCAGGATGGTCCTTAGGCCACTGCCACAGAATCACTTAAGAGCTGCTTCTGTGGGACCCGTCGGCTGAATCAGACTCTCAGGGGAACCTGGGGTCTGCATTTTTAATAAGCGCTCCAAGTGGTGATCACGCACATTCAGGTTTGGGACTACTGTTTCAATTTATTCGGGTCTTATCTCTTCCAGGAAGTCTGCTCAGACTCCTCCCCTGAGAAGCCCTCTGATGGCCAGAGTGCTCCTTTCCTGTGTCTGAGGCTCTGGAGGCTCTGAATGTCTGGGTCAAAGTCAGCTTGGGTTCTGCTGGGTCTGCTCTCTCCCTGCATACTGGGGAATGCCCAGGGACGGATGCCTGGCCCTCTCTTTCCTCTTGTCACCCTGGTTCTTCCTGAGTGTAGGATCTCTTGGGGTGCTGTAGGAAGCAAGACACTTCCGTTTTCAGGTCCTTTGAATCCTGTTTCCTTTACTTGTACAGATACTTGGGAGAACTTAGATTTTTCTCCCTTCCTACCATTCTACTCCTGACTCTCCAAGATGGTATAGAAATTGTATTACTGTGTCACATCAGCCTTTGCTTTTCCCGTCCCATGTCATCCCACAGGCTGTGCTAGGTGTGGGCCGGCCCCCACCCCACCCTAAGTGACCATGGATCCTGGAGCCGGGCCAGAGTCATCACTGACCGTCAATGAGCAGGTATGTTCTGGGGCAGGAAGAGGTGGGGGAGTGAGGGTGATGGACCCTGGGGCATGGCCAGGAGGAACACTCCACAGAGCCTGTCAGTATCTGTTTCTTAACCAAAATTCATGCCGACTTCACCCATCCAGATGTAGTTACCAGCTAGGATTTCTCAGGGGCTGAGATCGGGGATTTAAGCTGTGATTTTATTATTTATTTATTTATTTATTTTAAGTTTATTTTATTTATTTTTAGAGAGAGAGAGAGAACAGAGGTGCATGTGCGTGCATGCCCAAGCAAGGGAGGGGCAGAGAGAGAGAGAGAGAGAGAGAGAGAATGAATCCCAAGCAGGCTCCACGCCATCAGCACAGACCCTGACTTGGGGCTTGAACTCACAAACCATGGGATCATGACCTGACCTGAAATCAAGAGTCAGATACTTAACCGACTGAGCCACCCAGGCACCCCTTAATTTCACTTTTTAAAGTCACAGCTTAGGGGCACCTGAGTGGCTTAGTCGGTTCAGCAGTTTACTCTTGGTTCTGGCTCAGGTCATGATCTCGAAGTTCATGAGATCAAGCCCCTTGTTGGGCTCTGTGCTGACAGTGCAGAGCCTGCTTCGGTTTCTCTCTCTCCCTCTCTCTCTTTCAGCCCCTACCCTATTCATGCTCTCTCTCTGTCTCAAAATAAATAAACTTAAAAAAAGAAGTGAAATTAAAATATAAAAAATTGTATGGGATGCCTAGCTGACTTAGTAGAGCATGTGACACTTGATATCAGGGTCATGAGTTCAAGCCCCACGTTGGGGGTAGAGTCTACTTAAAAAAATAATAAAAAGCTTAAATATATATACAAATATGTATAAGTTTACATAAGGAAAAGATTTGGACATCAGGTAATTTACTCTATTTTTTCCTAAATATATTTTATAATTTTTTGCAGTGAACATTCATTACATAATTTTTTAAAGGAAAAAAAAAAAAAGGTTAACATTTCTTAAAAGGTAATTGGACTGAAGTCCCTCGTATCAAATTTAAATCAGAAAAGGAACTGCTTTTGGAGGTGTATTTCACTCATACTCCCCTGAGAGGTCACATTGTCACTTTTTCCAGCAATCTCTGGCTGGGTTCAATTTTGAGGACTGTGTTGTGGGAGTGCCTTCGGGTACAGGCCAAGTGCAGGGGAGGCTCGACACAGATTTTGAACATACAGCGTGTCCCTGATTCTTGATTGGTCTAATTCAAAGCATGCCAGTGCTGGAGGTGAAGAGCTGAGGGCTGGCTGTTTGAGCAGGGGAAGAAGACCAAGTGTTCTGAGGACATGGAAGGCCCCCTCGAGGTCGGAGCATGCCTGCAGATGGCAGGGCTGGCCCCACCGCTCCACAGGGTGCAAGGCTCCGGTCCGGGGAGGTGGGGCTCCAGTCCGGGGAGGTGGGGCTTCAGTCTTGGGAGGTGGGGCTTTAGTTGGAGAGGTGGGGCTCCAGTCCAGAGAGGTGGGGCTTTAGTCTTGGGAGGTGGGGCTCCAGTTGGAGAGGTGGGGCTCCAGTCCTGGGAGGTGGGGCCAGTGGCTGCTTCTACAGTATTCCTGACCTGCATTTCAGGAAGTTAGCTTGCCTGGAAACCTTGGCCTGTACCCCAGAGTTTTGGAATCATGAGCCTAAAAAGTTACTCAGCATTGTGGAGCATTCATGTCCATCCCTTTGTCTTTGAGGAAACTCCTGTAAGGTTTCAAGAGAAGTGAAGAGGGATCTGCTTCTTGGCCCAGCCTAAGGCTGGATGCTGTGTTAGTTAGGGGCCTCCATTATCCTAGCAGCTAAGAGGACGCCCTTGCAGGGCTGTGGGATAGGCCACTTAAGCACTCCCTGAACTGAGTCCAGGACGGGGAGCAAATAGAAATATCTCCAAGTGGTTTGTCTCTGTGGGGCTTTTACTAGCGTGTGTCAAGCCCTTCCCGTGTCACCAGGCCCCAGTTTCTTTCCTGGGATCGGGGAGCTGCAGCCTGCCCCAGGCTGTGGAATTGTCACAGCACACAGCCCTCAGGCAAGCGGTCTGCATCTCCAAGTGCCCTCTCCTCTCTCCCCCAGCCAGAAGCCTACTTACTGGCCACTCCCCACCAGCAATGTCCCCTGTCCTCTGTTTTCAGGTCATCGTGATGTCAGGCCACGAGACCATCCGTGTGCTGGAAGTTGGAGTGGATGCCCAGATCTCTGCTGAGGAGGAGGGCAAAGGACTGGAGGGTGTCGCTGCCGAGGGCTCCCAGAGCAGAGGCCCGGCCGAAGCCAGTGAACCCGCTGGTGAAGCTGGGCCAGACAACCCAGACTCCTCTGCAGAGGCAACTGGTACGAGGCCATTGCTCCCATTTGGCATTGGTCCACCCGAGTCCCTCTTTCTGGCTCCTTGGAGAGCCAGCGTGAGTCCCTAGAGCCAGGGTGGCCTCGGGGTCTTGTCTTCCAGTCCACTGGACGACCTCTGGCCACAGCTGTACTTCTGCTCAGCTGCTAGGGCCATCCTGCCCTCCATGTCCCTGGAACTTTAGTTCTGGTTTCATTCACTTCCACATCTAAACTGGGATGGGTCAGGGTGAGGTGGGAGGAGAGCAGCTGGGCTCAGTTGAGGGGATCGAATTAACCTCCGAGAGGGCTGTACGTCCAACCCAGAAAGGCCGAGTGCAGAAAGGACTAGACCTTCAGGATCCCGACAGCCTTTCTAACCCAGTACCTTCTGTGGTGAATCTGGGAGGTTCCAGCGGCTGGGGACAGGAGGGCATGTTACCTACCCCACACTAAAGATGTAGGTTAGGTAGGACCTTGCAGAATCCCAGCTCCTTACTCCTAGCTGGGCTGGCGTGAGTCAAGCCTGGTGTCTTATTCATGCTGTCTCCAAAGACGACTTTTGGGCAAGAACTTGATTCCCCTGTAAGGGGAATGGATAGGGACGATCCAACCACACCATCTCTCCTAATTACCCTGTAGTATAGCTGCGAGACAGCCAGGGCTGTTCTAGAGGCTGGGACTGAGGTGCCAGGCATGGCTGTCTTGTTGTGGGGCACCCTTTCATGGACTTCCCTCACTGACACCTTTCAGAGTAGATGTCTTTTGCTGGAAACCTGGGGATCCCCAGTTAGTACCCCCAGAACTCCACGATTCATCTCCCCTAGCCTTCTGCTTATCTTCCCTTCCCCGGATTGGAGATCTGGGCTGGTGGGGGTGGGCCAAGAAGAGGAGCCAAGAAGAGAGCAAATGAGAACAGACAGGCTTTAGGGAAATAGCAACTCCTTAATAAGAAAACTGTGAGACCTCACATCCCTCACTCTGCCTGCAAATCAGCACGCAGATTCAGTTGGCACCCTAGTGACCTAGGTTATTTTTTCTCCTTTTGAATAAAGGAACGGCAAGAGGCTTGACCGTTTTCCCCTAGCCTGGAAATGCTCTGCTCCATGTTGAGACCAGGGTGGGGTGTCACATGCTCCACAGGGCAGCGCCCCAGAGAGCAGGCAGCAAAGACCAGGATTCTACGTCTGACTGATCTTCCCACTCCTTTCCATGGTGGGGATGGGGCTCTTTTCCAGAAAATTCAGGAGATTTCCCAGGTTTACCCACAGGGTCGGCAATTTCCCTTTTTATTCTTTTAACGATCTTCCATATCTCATTTTGTCTGGTGCCTTAATTCTGTTTCTTGTTCAAACCTGCTCTCGGAAATGGATGCTAAGTCAACTCTTTATACCTTAGCATCAGTGTTTATGGTACTGTGCATCTTCTTCCAGGGGTTTGTACATTTAAGCCTCTTCACGAAAGTCCTTTTCTCTGTAAAGGCATTTTAGTGATCATCGGGTAGGTAAGGGAGGTATTTTGATGGTACCTCCCAAGAAGCCGCCAACTTAGACTGTGGCCTTGATGGAACCTTTCTTGATAATGCTATTGCAGAGCAGAGGCTAAGAAGAGTTTCCTCTTGGGCACCTGGGTGGCTCAGTCGGTTAAGCATACGACTTCAGCTCGGGTTATGATCTCACTGCTCGTGAGTTTGAGCCCCGCGTCGGGCTCTGTGCTGACAGCTCAGAGCCTGGAGCCTGCTTCGGATTCTGTGTCTCCCCCTCTCTGCCCCTCCCTCACTCAGGCTCAGTCTCTCTCTGTCTCTCAATAATAAATAGACGTTAAAAATTTTTTAATTAAAAAAATTTTAAAAATACACACATGGACAAGGACTGGGTAGTAATTTAGAGTGATATAAATCACTAGATTTTTCTCATCCTGGAAGTTTCCCATTACTTAGTTTCATTTTAAGAGAAAACTTTTGGTTTTTTGTTTTTTGTTTTTTTTTTACTTTTTTAATGTTGATTCATTTTTGAGAGAGAGACAGAGCATAAGTGGGGGAGGACAGAGAGAGGACGACACAGAATCTGAAGCAGCCTCCAGGCTCTGAGCTGTCAGCACAGAGCCCGACGCGGGGCTCAAACTCACAAACTGAGAGATCATGACCTGAGTGGAAGTCGGACGCTCAACCGACCGAGCCACCCAGGTGCCCCTCAAACTCCTTTTTTAAAAAATTAATTAATTTTTTGAGGGAGAGTGGGGGATGGACAGAAAGAGAGCAAGAGCGAGAGCGAGAAACCCAAGCAGGCTCTGTGCTATCAATGCAGAACCGGAGGTGGGGCTCAAACCCGCATACCGTGAGATCATGACGTGAGCCTAAATCAAGAGTTGGACGCCTAACCGGCTGAGCCACCCAGGCGCCCCTCAAATTCCTTTCGAAAAGAAATCAGTTGTGTACCTAGGAGGAAGTTATCACCTGGAAAAGTACAAAATCTATCAATGAGAGAGGACCAGTAATTGGCTACAAGGTACCACATAGCTGTTAAGCCAGAAAAATAAATAAACAGTGATAAAACCTAGGTTGGGTGGCACTGTGGAGAAATGGGCACATTATTGATGGTTCTGTGAATTGGTTCAGTCTTTCTGAAAAGCAGTCTAGCAGGAAGTGATAAAAGCCCTAAATGTATGCAAACCCTTGGACCCTTAGTCCTACTTTGAAAATAAATCCTAATGAAATGAACATTTCGTTTCTTTAGATGATAAGCTTTTCTCATTCATGTTTATCACATTCCCATTTTCCCACTTTGCTTTTTTTTTTTTACATATTTCATAACATTTTGTCAAGCAAAATATTTTTTAAGTTTTTGTGGGTTCAGAGTATCGTGATGTTTTCTGATTTTTTTTTTCAGTAGCTAGACCTGTATTTCCCCTCCACAGTGGACATAAACCTGTCGTTTTGTTTTCTGTTTGTATTTTAGAAGACTTTTGTTGTTGCCTGTTTTCTCTTTGATTCCTTAAAGAGTTGGATTTTTTTTTTTTCATTATATACTGTGAACTTTATAGTCCTGAGTTAGGTTACTGCCTTTCCAGATGAAAATGTGGGCTGGGAATGCAAGGTGGAAAGGCTGTCTAATTCCGTGGTTCTTCCTCTGGCTGCACGATGTATCACAAGTGGGTTTAAAAGGAAAAAGAGAGAGAGGAGAGGTTACTGACCTCCATTCCCAGACATCCAATTCAGTAGGCTTAGATTAGGGCCTGGAAATCACACCCAGCCAATATTAAGAGGCCACCAATCTGGTCTAACGTCCATCACCCAATATGTAGATTCCTTTTCAAGTTTTACTGTGTATTAAATAATAACCCTTCTCCTCATTGTTGTGTGGCTTTGAAGAGGTTTCCTGGTGGGGTTCTCCAATACCGGACTAAATCAAGGTAGCAAGAGGAAGCTATCAGCTGGGTGAAAAGCACCCTTTCACAGGAAAGAAGTTCTTTTGGAAGCTCAGTGAGGCTTCTCAGCTGGACTTCAGACCGCAGGCCCTGGCAGAAAAAAGCTGCCTGGCCTGGAATGCCCCTGTGTTCTGGAGTGTGGCAAAGACCTGTCCAGTTTTCAGGGACTGTCACTTCAAGGACCTCACCCGACAGGAATCTTTGCCCCTTCCCCAAGCTAGCACCTGCATCCACAAAGTCACCTGCAGGTGGTGTAACAATGATTCAATTGCTGGATGAGTCAAGGGAAGTTGCTCCCATCAATTCTAGCTCCTTCCTTCCCTGACACACGTTTGCTTAGGGCCCCTTTACTGATTATGTGATAGGTCACCATGTCCTATGGAGTCAGGAAATGGGAGACTTGATAGGCAACTGTGCATAGGCCTGCATCTTCTTCAACTAGATGTGGGAAGAGGGTAGCCCACCTTTCAGGTCTGGCACAGGGTCCCCCATCCTTCCATTCTCACTACCGGTAGCATTTGGGAAGCTGCCTCCTGGGCCAGGGAAGGCTGGTGATTGGCCTTGGGTTATGCAGAAAAACAATGTAGGCCTGAGAATTTAGCACTCCAAACTGCAACCAGATGTTCTACTCCAGTGACCCCTCCACTCACACCGGGCTCACTCCTTGTCCTTTCTCTCAATGCCACATGAAGTGAAGTCTCTCCCGGGGATCCCTCCGAGCCCTGCCCCTGCGGTTGCCACCTTCAGCCAAGCCCCAAGCCAGCCTCAGGCATCGCAGACCCTGACGCCACTGGCTGTACAAGCTGCCCCCCAGGTAAGGGCCCCCCGGGGAGCTGAACAGAGGGCCCTGGGCGGGAGCAAAGCATGGGACAGCCAGTGTGGGGTGGCCATGGGATCTGGGGATTTCTCGGGGCAGAACAGGGAAGGGGCTGTGGCTTGAAGGAGGGAATCCCTTCCTGGGCACCCCTGGCCTCTCCCCTACCCCAGATCAGGCCCACTGGGAAGATTAGATCTGTCTTTGCCAACTAATATTCTTGGGTCCAGCAAAGATTGTAGAGATAACGTTAACTCTTTCATGCCACAGGCATCTCTGTTTATCTAATGACTAAATGAGTGAATAGCCTTGTTAGCCCCTCCAGGAGATGCCTGGAAGAGTTAATGGATCGTTCAGAGTCCTCATTTAGAGCCAGGGGGCCGCCCCAGCGCCGTGAGAAGCTGCCTCCCGGGTCCCCCGGCTGTACTGAGTTCCCTGTGACCTTTTGCTACATGCACAGATCTGCAAGGCATCCAGCGGGGTATCCTCCGTCAGAGCTTCCCAGAAGCCTCTGTAGGCCCTTGATCTCCTGGTTCCACCAGCCCCCGCCCCCTGCTTCCCGACGGCCACAAAGCATTGGTCGTGTGGGCCAGGGCCCAGGGAAGGCCTGGGAGGCAGCAGACTGTGGTGGAGGAGGCCGGCACACCCTCTGCTGTCCCGTGAGTGGGGCCAGGCCCCGTCTCCGGTTCAGGCAGCTTCTCTGAAGGCAGGATAGTCTGGTCCAGGCACCCCCTCGGGGTCAGGCCTCCGGCTAGGGCTGGTCTCTTCCCCACCCTCACCGGCCTTTTCCCCACCGCCCTCAGAATGCTTTGTTTGTGCTCAACTGGGTCTGAGAGACCTGGTGTTTGCGCTGTCAATGTTGATTTTTTATTTTTTCTTTTCTTTTTGAAATCTTGTTTGCTTTTGCAGGTCTTGACTCAGGAAAACTTAGCCACAGTTCTGACAGGAGTTATGGTTCCAGCAGGGGCAGTTACTCAACCTCTTCTTATCCCCATCAGTATTGCAGGTCAAGTGGCTGGTCAGCAGGGGCTGGCCGTGTGGACAATTCCTACAGCAACCGTGGCTGCCCTCCCAGGACTGACAGCTGCTTCTCCTACGGGGGGAATTTTCAAGCCACCTTTAGCCGGTCTGCAAGGTAACGGCAACTCTCCCCAGGACTGCACCAGGCCCCCCACCACCCTACACTACTGTCCCTGCACGTGTGCTTGCCATGCTGGACTCAGAACACGCGGCCCACCGGGGCAACAGCCCTGGAGTCCGGATCCGGTGTCCCAGGCACCCAGCCACAGAGCTGCTGCACCACCTCGGGACTCTAGGCCATGACACCGAGCCGGCCCAGCGGGCCTCTCTCACTCCAGCCAGCCGAGACTGCCCCCCTCCCCCCCCACCGCGCCAGAGTTCGCCCCACGACCAGCCTCCTAAGAAGGACCACCGCAAGAAGATTCCGCTTCTGCTTTGGAACCTACGCGTCTCCAGCAGGCCCGAGGGAGGGGGGGATGAGAGATGCTGCCACGCGCTGCCCCTGCAAGGATCAAGGGAATCACGGCTGCCTGCCCCCTCTGCCCCGCTGTCCCAACCCCCCTCTCATTCTTGGGCCAGATCCCTTGGGATTGGAGCCGCTCTGGGCTGCGGCTAGGCATTTGAGCGCCTCTGTCTCTGCCTTGCTCCGTAGCAGCTGCCGTGCTGAACGCCGCTCTCCCGACACCCGTACAAGCTGTCCCGCCGGTACAGGCCTCCTCGCCCACGCAGCCCCGGCCAGCGGCCCAGCCCCAGACGCTGTTCCAGACCCAGCCGCTGCTGCAGACCACGCCGGCCATTCTACCGCAGCCCACCGCTGCCACCGCTACTGCCCCCGTCCCCAAGCCAGTGGACACCCCCCCACAGATCACCGTCCAGCCTGCAGGCTTCGCACTGAGTCCAGGAATTGTAAGCTGCTGCCCTCACCCAGGGCTGACCAGGGATGGACTGAATCTCGGGCCAAGGGTGGAACTGGCCCTTCCCACAGGGGAGGAAGGAGGTGGAGGACCAGCCCCCCCGAAAACGGCTCTTTTCCAACACATCCGCAGAGATGGCTCCCTCTGAGGCCTTCTCCTTGCATCTGCCAGCCCATCCATCCCAGACAAGAGCAGACAATCTCCGCCAAGAGGGCTGGGCAAATTCTCCAGAACCTGAACCACTGGACCGGCCTTGGAGGGTGGGATGATGTCTGGGGATTGCAAACTCGTGAGCTGTAACTAAGGTGGAGCTGGAGGCTCACAGCCCCGTGCCCGTGTCTGTCCGGTGTGGCTCCCGGCTCGGGCAGTGGAGCTGTTGGATGTGACTAGATTCACATCAGCCCCTCCAGTCTGGCCTTCTGTCCTCCTGGGCCTGGCCTGAAAGATTAGCCGGAGTTACTCTTCCGTGGTGGTGCCCCTCCCCCTTCCCCGCAGCCCCTGGCCCTCGATGCTATTCAGTTGGTGGACATAGGCCTGCAGCCCACATTCACACCTGCCCAGCATCCGTATCTCCCCACCCCAAAGCGCTCAGCCTTTTCCTCTCTGCCTTGGGCTCTTTCTCACCCCGTGGCCTCTGAGCAAGGCTCTTTCTCCACCCACAGATCAGTGCTGCTTCCCTCGGGGGACAGACCCAGATCCTAGGCTCCCTCACTACCACTCCGGTCATTGCCAACGCCATTCCCAGCATGCCAGGGATCAGCAGTCAGATCCTCACCAACGCTCAGGGACAGGCAAGTGGTCGAAGCCAGGGCTGAGGGTTGAGGGCTGCGGTGAGGCTGCCTGGGCGGGGGGGCCGGGCCTTGGGCTGAGGGTCCTAGAAACTCGGACAGGGTGCCACGCTGCCGTTCATCTCTCGTGTGGCAGCTCTCTGCTGATGCTGAGCCCCGGCAGGGGCCTCACCTCCACCCCAGCCTATAGGTGCTCACTCTACTCTGGGGTTTTCCTTCGCGGAGCACCCACTTTGTGACCAGGCTCTGTGTTAGGTGCTCTCTCACATTATCTCACCTCATTTTGAGTACAGGTCTGTTAGGTGGAGATTTTTATTCCCATTTTTCCAGGGGGAGAAGGCCGAGGTTCAGAGAAAGTAAGCCACCCAATAAAATGTGGCAGGGCAGGGCAGGGCTTCACATCCAGGGCTGTGTGAATCACATGCAGACCTATTCTTCCTGCACCTCGGCTCCGGGGATAGAATAAAGGAAACAGCTTTATCGATGAGGGAACTGAGGTCCGGAAGGGTTCAACGATTTGTTGAGGTCCCTTCCCCTGCCCACGTGGGGATTTGGGTTGGAGGTAGAACTGGACGCTGGCCTCACACCTGGGGTCCCTGCCTTGTTTCCTCCAGGTTATTGGAGCACTTCCGTGGGTAGTGAACTCGGCTAGTGTGGCAGCCCCAGCACCAGCCCAAAGCCTGCAGGTCCAGGCTGTGACACCCCAGCTGTTGTTGAATGCCCAGGGCCAGGTGATCGCGACCCTGGCCAGCAGCCCCCTGCCTCCGCCCGTGGCTGTCCGGAAGGCAAGCACGCCTGAGTCCCCTGCTAAGAGTGAGGTACAAGGGCTGGGCTGGGATGAGGGCAGGGGTGGGGGGGGCGGTGCCTCCCTCAAGACTGCAGGGCAGGACAAGACTATTTTCTGAAGCCCCTGGCACACAGAGTACCTCCCCAAAGTGAGGGGAAATCCCAGAGTAGAAGGCCCCACATACTCTGTTCAGGGACAGAGCGCTCCCCCCCACCCCACCCCCACTCCAAAAACAAGTGTATGTGCCCTCAGAGGCCAGTGCCATGCTGAAAGGGCCAGGGAGGTAGTCAAAGCAAACTGAGCCTTGATCGGCTCCAGGGTGAACCGATTGCCAGGAAAGCCCAGGGAGGTGACTCGGCATCCCCTCCGCCTCACCCCTTCACTTGCACTGTGGCTTTGATTATTCCTTTATTTGTTCATTCCAGGAGCAGTTTTTGAGTGCCTACTATACTCCAGGTGCTGTAGATCTAGGGACGAGTAAGATGCCTTTCCTAGCCTTAGGTGGCCCACTGCTGGAGACAGTTGCAAGCCAGAGTGACAAAGACTATGACAGGGACGTGACAAGCTGCTGTAGGGACCCCGAGAAGGGAGTTCTGGACCGACTGGGGAATTCAGCAAAGCTTCGTAGAGAAGGGAGGTGGCACTAATCTAAAGGGATGAGGTGGGCGGGAGAGTGGATCTCCCCCCTTTACTGTAATTGCAGGAATTAGAAGGTGTCAGAGCAGGGGTTCCCAGAGTTGTGTGTCAGAAGCACCTGAAGGACAGCTGGAATGCAGAGTCCCGACGCACACACGTCCCCCCACCCTTGGAGTTTCTTGTTCAGAAGTTCTGGAGTGGCGCTCCAGAATTTGCATTTCTAGCAAGTTCTCTGGCGAGGTTGAGGCCTTGGCTCTCAAATGCAGCATGCCACTTCCAGGCTTTGTGAATAACCTCCTAGCCTCATCTGTAAAATGGAGATTATCAGAGTACCAACCTCAGAAGGTTATGAACGTTAATGGATATATCACGCGTAAGACAGGTAACACTCTGTACGCAGGGAGCACTGGAAAAAAACGGTGCTTTTATTTTATCACTGTTATTATGGAGCAGAGAGTCATGGAAGGGAAGTGGCTTATTAGATGCGTATTAAAAAAAAATTAACCGGGGCGCCTGGGTGGCTCAGTCGGTTAAGCGTCCGACTTCAGCTCAGGTCATGATCTCACGGTCCGTGAGTTCGAGCCCCTCGTTGGGCTCTGTGCTGACCGCTCAGAGCCTGGAGCCCGTTTCAGATTCTGTGTCTCCCTCTCTCTCTCTGCCCCTCCCCTGTTCATGCTCTCTCTCTGTCTCAAAAATAAATAAACGTTAAAAAAAATTAAAAAAAAAATTACCTGTTATCCAGGTGGAGCCAAGAACTGAACTGTGGCAAGACTTGAGTCCTTGTCACTTGTTAGGAGGCAGCTGAAACAGTTCTACCAAAAAACCAGGAGCCCTGAACTTAAGTCCCTGGGGAGGAAGAGGGACTGGGCTTGAGAGCTACCAAAGGGTAGAATCCAGGGAATAGGACTCATCCTAGAGAAATGTGCACTTTCCAGGAAGTTGTTTTTTTATTGTTATTATTTAACATTTATTTATTTATTTATTTTGAGAGAGACGGGGACAGTGCGTGTGGGGGAGGGGCAGAGAGAAGGGGGAAGAGAGAGAGAGGGAGAGAGAGAAGCCCAGGCAGGCTCCACACTGCCAGCATGGAGCTGGCCGCGGGGCTCGAACTCACGAAACTGCGAGACCATGACCTGAGCCCAAACCAAGAGCCAAACGCTCCACCGACTGAGCCACCCAGGCGCCCCTCAGGAAGCTTTTAAAAACAATCATCCTGGGCTGCCTGGCTGGCTCAGTCAGTAAGTAGAGCATGCGACTCTTGATCTCGGGGTTTTGAGTTCTAGCCCCACGCTGCGGGTTTTTACTTTAAAAATTCATACTAAAAATACTGATTTGATATATTTATAGTTTCTCCTGATGATAAATATGATGCACACTTAAAAAAAAATTTTTTTAATGTGTACTTATTTTTGAGAGGCTGAGAAACAGAGCATAAGCAGGAAAGGGGCAGAGAGAGGAAGACACAATCCGAGGCAGGCTCCAGGCTCTGAGCTGTCAGCACAGAGCCCAACGTGGGGCTTGAACTCACGGGCCTTGAGATCACGACCTGAGCCGAAGTCGGACACTTAACTGACTGAACCACTCAGGCGCCCTGACACACACTTTTTATAAAAATTCCAATATTATGTGTAATGGAAAAAAGCAAAAATCTCTTACAAGTCCACCCCCAGAGATAGCTGATGTAGACAACTTGCTTTATATGTCTCAAGATTTTGTTTTTCCTGGAAATTCATATGTAGTTTTTATAGGAGTTATTCTATAAAAATTGTTTTCACTTTATCTTTTCTTCCACTTAGCACTGTGACCCAGAGCTCCTTCCATGTCGGTTAATTAAGAGATTAACTGCGTACTTTTTTTTTTTAATATTATACGTGAGAAAGAGAGACAGTGCGTGAGCAGAGAAGAGCAGAGAGAGAGGGAGACACAGAATCTGAAACAGGCTTCAGGCTCCGAGCTGTCAGCACAGAGCCCGACGCGGGGCTCGAACTCACGGACTGTGAGATCATGACCTGAGCTGAAATCACGGACACTTAACCGACAAAACCACCCGGGCACCCCACTGTATTCTTTTTAGTAGCTGCACAGAATCTCATTGTAAAAAGGTCCCCAGAGTCATTTGCCAGTTCCCTGTTAATGGACATTTGGGGCCTGGGAGCCTCTAGAATCAAGTGTAGGTTTCTGTTCTGAGGGAAAAGGTTTGAGAGCAGTTATCTCAAGGGTGGACACCTGTTGGGCTTTGAACAACTGTACTGAACCTTTCGGAGCCTCTGACCTGCCTGTGTCACGGGTGGCTGCGAGGCTCCAACTTGGTGGGGCATGTCGCTGTCCTTACTTCAGAGGTCACTGTCTTTGGGTGGCTGTAATAAGTAGCTTCTAGTCTTGCTTTGTGATGGGGCACAGGTAGGAGTGTGCTGGGGGAGTGAGGATTTCACGCCCATTTTCATGTGGCCCGGGCAGGGACTCCCACCCCCTGAGCCAGGCAGGTGGGCAGTAGCATCTCATTGGCTCTCTTCTCCCAGGTCCAGCCCATCCAGCCCACGCCAGCCGTGCCACAGCCAGCGGTGGTCATCACCAGCCCAGCCCCGGCGGCCAAGCCATCTGCCTCTGCTCCCATTCCAATCACCTGCTCTGAGACCCCTACTGTCAGCCAGTTGGTATCCAGTAAGTGACTCCTGAAAAAGGTTGTAGAGAAGAGGAGAGGCATGTATTCGGACTCCCCAGCCCCTTTAGATGCTGCTCTCCTTAATAAACTTTCTAGCGTCCAAAGGGGAAGGGCAAAGGCCCGCTACCAGGCATTGGCTTTCTTATTCCCATTCCTGCTGAGCTGGATTCTAGGCATGATGACAGAGGAGGCCACTTCCTCAAGAAGCCAATCCATGGGCTGTCTCTCGTTTGGCCTCTCACCCAGTATTTGAGGAATGTGGGTGGCTCAGCTCTGCTTGGGGCCAGGAGCGGGGAGAATGGGGGAGGATCAGCCACTGGAGCTGGAAGAACTTGAAAAGAGACCCCTACTTCCAGACAGGTTAGTCCAGGCCCCTTTTCCTCAAGTTTTGTTTGCTTTGGGAACAGGGGTGGTGAAGGTGTTAAGGGTATATGGGCCTTTTGTCAAATGTCTTCATCCCTCACTGCTTCACCAGGCCAGGCCAATAAGCTAGGTAAGGAGGGCTATCATCCGTCTTACACACTCACCCCTGGTCCCTTCCTCTGACCTAGAGCCGCATACCCCAAGTCTGGATGAGGACGGAATCAACTTGGAAGAGATCCGGGAGTTTGCCAAGAACTTTAAGATCCGGCGGCTGTCCCTGGGCCTCACACAGACTCAGGTGGGCCAGGCTCTGACTGCAACGGAAGGCCCAGCCTACAGCCAGTCAGCCATCTGCCGGTGAGTAAGGCTGTTCTGGACAAGGTCAAGGCCGGCTCAGGCATTTGATGGCACTAAGCACTCATTGGGACCCAGGTGCATGGCTCCTTTCCATATTCTCTCTTGCTCCTGCCTCCTTCCAGACCAGGAAGGTTGTTCCAAGGGTAGACGGGAACACCGAGAGTGGCCAGAGGCTGATCCAGTCCGTCTGAGGGCCCTCTCAAGTTTGTTCTTCAATCCTGAGCATGTACGTGGTCTTTCGTTGGGGGAAACCTAAGACCCTAATCCATTCAGGAACCCTACAGGGAAAGGCTACAGCTTATGCCGTTGGTCACAAAAGTGGGAACTTCTGTTCTGACTTAGCCGTCCACCGCAACCCACCCTCCCCGCTGTTATGCTCCCATCCCCCCTCCTCCCAAGGCATGACTATAAAGCGATGTAGCTGATTTTTCTGTGTGCGGCGTTCAGACTGGTTCTGATGCCAGTATCGAAGGAGGGCAAAGCGTTGCAAACAGGAATGAGTCCATGGCTCAGGGATGGCCGAAAGGTGCCTGCCAGCTCCCAGATTAGACAAGAGTGACCGCTAGACCAGGTGTCACGCTGGCAGTTCTGTAGTCGCATCCGGGCTCGGCCAGGAAGAGCGGTCTGACTCAGTGTCACTACTGTGAGACGAAATCGGAGGAGATGGCACTTGTGACATCCACGTGCCATCTCTGAAGTCCTCTTAGGATAACTCCTCAAAGGACCTCACTCATTTGGGTGTGAACGTTCTAGAAGAGTTGTTCAGACAGCAGCTGCACTGTTATCGTTGCGCCACTGAACTGAGGCTGTGGGAATGGTCTCCCTTTTGTGACCTGGCTTACGGGATGGTCTGCGGAGTCTGGGCTTGGCTGAGCCAGGGTGGTCTCGATGGGGGCGGTGAGGGGACCATTTAGTACGGTCCCACCAGTCCTCAGAGGGGCAACCCCTCGTGGAGAGTACTCACACCCCAGGGTGGGGAGTAAGGCATTCTCACTGTCCCTTCCCGGGCTTGGGTCACCCACAGGTTTGAGAAGCTGGATATCACACCCAAGAGTGCCCAGAAGCTGAAGCCAGTGCTGGAAAAGTGGCTGAATGAAGCCGAACTCCGGAACCAGGAAGGGCAGCAGAACCTGATGGAGTTCGTGGGAGGTGAGCCCTCCAAGAAACGCAAACGCCGCACCTCCTTCACCCCCCAGGCCATAGAGGCTCTGAATGCCTACTTCGAGAAGAACCCGCTGCCCACAGGCCAGGAGATCACCGAGATTGCTAAGGAGCTCAACTACGACCGGGAGGTCGTGCGCGTCTGGTTCTGCAATCGGCGCCAGACGCTCAAGAACACCAGCAAGCTGAATGTCTTTCAGATCCCTTAGGGCTCAGCCCCCGGCCCTGTGTTCCAGCACTTTGTACTTTTCCCTTGGCCCCTGGCTGCAGCCACTGCCGTGACGGCACCTGTCGTTCTGCCACGTGCGGCTGCGCTTGTCCTGGGGTCGTGAGACTCCACTGTGTGCATGTGCGTTCACTGCCTCCCTCCTCTCCTCCACGTAGCTCACATCACGGGGAGGGCAGAGGGGGCCCACCTGAGAGCTCCAGGCTCCGGGCCGGTCACGCCAAGGGACCCTTCCATTAAGTGGTGTCACTTAAAGAAGCACTTTGCGAAGGTGGTTTTCGAAGGGTGAATTCTGGTTGGGAACCAGAAGCTCCCTGTCTTTGGGGCAGGGCTGCGGCAGCCCCTAAGTACCACTGACCCTTAGCTCTTGTCTTTGATGGCATTCTCTCTCCACCCTCCCTTCCCCTGTGCTCCTCTGTGGAAGTGTCGCAGGTGCAGCAGCTCGCGCAGCGGAACCCCAGCCTCAACTCCCACCCTTTGCCTGCAGGCACCCTGTCCCCGAAAGGACCCAAGGGGCACAGTTCCGAAAAGTGTGACGAGCTGCTCAGCAGGTCAGGCTCAGTGTCTGCCTTGCCCTCGAGGTCAGAAGGTTCTCGCAGCCCTGGGGCCAGAACATGTGATCCCTGCTTCCTTTGGGGGGAAATTGCACTAAAGCAGAACCTGTTCATTTGTGACCCAGGTTGGAAGGAAGCAGCTTTGAACTCTGGCCGTCCTGGAGTTGACCTGGGTCTACGGCAGGTTGGGAACTTAATAGATGAACCCATCCTTCCAGATTTTAATCTAAACTCTGCCCGTGGCTCTCTCCCTCACTAGACAGTGAGGGTTAAAGAACCGGCAGCCTGGAAAATCCCACTGCCCAAGCTCGCAGCACCCCGAAGAGAAATGAAAGGAATGCTGACTCTCTCTTTCTCTTGTCCTCCCACTCACCCCTAACCCAGTGCTGGGCCTTGTCAGAGGGGCACACGAAACCCTAAACCAGACAGCAAGGCCCTGGGGAAAAGGCCACCATCCAGGAAGAATGGATGGCAGCCCAAGAAAGTCTCTTGTGGAAGGTGACTTAACTCTAATTTTCTTGGTGACTTTGAGCCTTGGATACTGGAGGAGAAATCTTGTTTTTTCTGGAGTCTTACACCATGTGTTTGTGCAAACAGTCCTCCCCACCCCTGCCTGCCAGAGCTCCTCTGAGTCAAGAATACCCCCGAAGCAGGACGGGTCTTGCCTACAGAGAGGACGAAGATGGCACACGGAAGGCGGGCACCCCATCCAAGCTGCTCAGTGAGTTTCCCAGCCTCGCTGTGGCTGGACGGCCCCTGGAACTCAGTATGTTACTCCAGGAGGTCGGGCGAGCACTAAGAGGCGTGCTTAGGTGAACCTAGACTCACCGCGTAGACCGTGTCCAAGGGCCACAAGTCACAGAGCCAGATCAGCAGCTGCCCTCCACGGCACCTCACAGGATCTACCCTGACAAAATGGCTGCCAGGCGAGGGCACAGCCCTACCCCACTGGTCACCGGCACAGAGTCCCCTCTTGGTCGAGCTTCCTCTGGCTTGTGGTGTTCCCTTTCCTGCCTACAGCTGGTCCCTGTCAGGCCCTACAATGCCAGAGTGGCCCCCCTCTTGGCGGCCCTGCCAGTGAGAGGACGGCTGTGTGTCAGATTTTCCCCAAACCCCCTACGTACGCACACACTCCTGCCCCAGTGCGTTCGGACTGCCCCAACTTTCCAGAGTGTGGTGGGAACGAGGAAGCAGGCGGGCACCCTGCCTGCCCCAAGCCTCCCGGGAGAGGATACGTCTCCAAGGGGGAGGCTTCACAGTCAAGTTTAGGGTTATCCGTCTGTGTCAACGAGATGAGGGGCTCACTCGGGACGGGCATCGTAAACAAGTTTTCAGTAAGAAGACCCAGGCTGCTGGCGTCTGTGAAGGATTCAGTGACTTACACGTCAATAAATGAGAGAGGTAGGCTTGCACCCGCAAACGCTTGTGTTCAGATAGGCTTTCTGTTTTTGAGAGAGACAAGTGGGTCACAGCTGGAGCTCTGGGAGTATCATATAATCCAGGGTGTGTCCGTGGCAGTAGATA